AGTGCGGTTCGTTTGGGGGAGGGAGGATTAGATTGAAATGGAAAAAAGTAAAGTGATGAGCATGGCAGGAAATGCTTCACTTTCTGGACCCCTTATAAAGTGTCTCTTTATCATGTCCTGTACCTGGGGGGTTGCAGATTGGTGCCACCTGGATGATATATCACATGCGCATGGAGAGGTGGATCCCGCGAAGCAGATACTAGCTTTGTTTCCTACTTATTTTATGTGAACAGGTATCACTGAGCATCTCTGGAAGACAGCTCCCCTCCTCCAGTTTGCAGGTAACCGAGTTTCACTGGGGACGTGCTAATTGCTGCTGAAAGTGAGCAGGCCTCCATCCACCTCTTTGAACTGCCCCAGTTACGGGGAGGGGGGGGAATAAAGCTCCCTGGGAGTTATTCACCTGCGGGAACCTGCTCGGCAGCCTGTCTGTCACAGGGGAGCGGCTGGGGAAGGAGCCAGGCTTTGGACTCTGCGTAGTCTTAGCGCCTGAAATGGCTACTCGATTCAGTAAATCCATGGCCAGCCCTGTAAGTGGGAAGCCAAAGACATTGCATAGAGTCATATTATGTTCCCTGCCCCCTGGGCTTTATGTTGAGCATAGCTATTCTAGCTTAACCCTTAATTATTTTTTTAAAGGCAATAATCAGCATAAATAAAGGTAATTCAGTAGAATTAGCTTGTGTGTATCATATCCAAAATGCTAGCAAAATAACTGGAGAAAGAAAGTTGTTTGGCTAGTGTTGAGCAGTTAACAACGACAAAAAATACTACTCCAATCAATATCACTCCAAAGATGCTTTCAACAGTCCCAGTGCTTTTAACTTCATGTCATTTCCAAATGAGAAACTCCCAACCGAATCATAATTGCAAGGTGCAAAGAAGAATGGATATGGTGCGTGAACGTTGCTTGTGACACCAATTTGAAATGACTGCTGTGTAGCAGTACTAACCTTCCCTTGCTAGTGAAACCAGCATCTTATGTGGCAGTACTGGCAAACGCCAAGGTGCACATGCAAATCCAGCAGTATGCAAATCCTCAGCTGCCTGAGGAATGCAGGTTTCCCCAGGACAAGGCTGCTGTGATGCCTTGACTATTAGAGGTGAATGTAGAATGGATTTCCAAATTGCAGCTGGTGTCCATCTCCTTTTTTGCCTAAATTTTTTTTTTTGGGGGGGGAGGGGATGTTGGAAAGATTCAAACAAGCAGAGAATACTGTGTTAAGATGGTTGTTGTTTGATAGAGGTAGACGGAAGGGTTACATCTAAACATTTGGGGGAAATGGTGGTGAGTTGCCAGCGTGCCAGACAAGTTTACAGAGGGTGAGGAATTCATGATAATGTTCAAAGCTGCCGGATGAAGGAATTACTTTTCACTGCAAACTGTTTTTCTAGGGCTAGTTGCTTAAATCAGGGGCACCTGCAGGCTGAGGTTTTAACTTATTGTTGTCAGTTTTGCAGGCATGCTGCTGCTGGTGGCCCATAAATGGTAGGCAGCAGCAGCAGGGACAGGCATTGATGCCAATTCATGTGAAAAAGAAAAAGGGAATACATAAAAGAAGCAATACAAAGGGAGGAGGTTGAATTTTCTAAAGCTGGGTTCCCAGAGCCAGAGAGCAGCTTTTCTCTTTTCTCTTCAAAGTTACATACTCAGAAAGTGCTGCCAGGTTGACTTCTGTCTTGGCTTGTCTTATTTTCCTCCTTGATCTAGGAAAGACCTAAGCCCCTCATGCCAGTCATCCTCTCCTGCCTGTGCTAGGGGTCTCAAGCAGATGGAGCTTCTGGAGAATGTGGTAGATGTGGTTTGGGATTTCATTGGAGGGATTTCACCACCTGACATTGGGAGGGAGACTCTTGCCTGGCTGCACTGCTCACATGCTCCTGGTGGAAAATAGTGAGCCTTTTCTTGAATATGACTGTAGGGGAAAGCAGGCCCTGCGCTGAGCAGCTGCTTGCCTGATAGGAGAAGTCCTGGTGTGGAATAGTTTAGGACCTTGGATGCTCATTTGAAACTTGTCTTTAAGAAGGACTCATCAGTTCTTAAGTCCTCCTGGCAGAAAATTGGTGCTGCAACTATTAGCTTGTGAAACGAAGAACCAAACCAGCATTTGAGTGGCCTGCAAAGACTCTTTGGGCAGATCTCTTCTTTTGGTTGGCAATCTCATCTTCTTAAAGAAAAATTTTTCATCTGTGACACAACTTTGAGCTGATGCAGAGGGCAACATTCTGCTGTGAGATGCTTCCCGAAGCAGTCCCTTTCCCTGAGGTGCCCAGAGGCTGATTTTGCAACCAGGTCCTTCATTCGTGTTGGTTTCAAAGGGTTTCACCGTATCTGGTGGGAGGGAGCAGCCCTGTGCTCTGTGGGGCTGCATAGTCTGTTCAAGCGGAGGCTCCAGGCTGCTCTCCCATGGCTGCTGGAGACATGTCATGCGGCCTCGGGCTCCTGACGCTTTCCTTGATGGTTCCTTGTAGTCATTATCCCACATTCCTTCTGGTTGCAGAACATGTTGTTATTATTGCTTTGTGCTGGGTCTGTCTCCTGTCCCTTTTTTACAGGCCAATCTGGCCCTGTGTGCTCTTGCCTCTAAAACAAAAGCAGATTAGCGCTGCAGAAGCTGAATTATTTTGTTTATGTTATGGTCTGTCAGAGGACCCCACGCAATCCTTGTGCAGCTCCCTGAGCAGAGTAGCAGCGAGTGAGGAGACACGGTAAGTCAGTCAAACCCTCCTGATGCTCTGGTTTGATCCACAGGTTCCCCAAAGGGTCTTTAAATTAGTTGCTTTGAGGGGAATTGAGGCTGGGGAGTGATCCCTGCAGCCCCTCCGCCACTTGTGGTACATCAAGCACGCCTGTAGCATACAGAATAAGCAATTTTTTACGGTAAATTGTACCTCACAATTCAAACTTGACAGCTGTCAGTGAAATTTGCTGCTCAAAACTGATCTCGAGCACATTGCCTTCTGGTTAGTCTGTCCATGCTCCCTCGGCCAGGATGTTTATAATACTCAGGGAGTCTCTCATGTTACTTAGTGCAGTAATGCGGCTCCACGAATAAAAGCCATTTCCAGTCTGTCGGTATCGCGTCTAACAAATGAGATCTGCTAAATGCGCTTGTCACCAGCGGTAGGAACAGAAGAAACAGAATTGCACATGTTGCTGTAATGATTCGAAGTTATAACGAATTATATTTTTGCACGTTTGCAAATGAGTGTCTGATAGCCGGTGCCAGAGTGGGAGATATGGCTTGGCTGATCTTGCTGTTTTTGTAATTTCTAAACAGAAACAAGAATTAGAAAATTACTTTGTGGTGGAGTGCAAATATGTATAACATAAGTGTAAAGACTGCGGTGCAGCACACGTGTATATCTATCTTATACATATGCAAATCGCAAGACTCACAGTAAAACCATCATAACGTGTGATGGCATCAGCACTAATTAGCTGGAGATCCAGTCTGTTCCTCTCTGCCAAAGTAAACTGGAGTTATCTCGGTCTCAGATTTCATATTTCCTCCTTTCTCTTTCAGGGGAGGAATGTCTCTGTCACAAGGTATTACGTCCCGAATCGAAAATGTCTTCAAAGGCTCACAAAACATTTCCAATTCAAATTCTAAAGTCATTTTTGCTATTAACGTATTATCGACAGATCATCCAACAGCTTTCATGCTAGCTGCGGACCCAAATATTTAACGCATTTTGCCCATAAATGGGAAACAGTCGGTGTGCAAGTGCTGTAGAAATCAAGGCTTATAAAATGTAATGAGAACAGAAAGGAGAAAACTAAGTTAGCAAAGAAATTCGAACTATGGGGCACATTGTTTTCAGGACCAACACACGGAGGAAAACTCTCCAAGCTAAACATGACACACAGGAGCTGTGTCAGAGCCGGGCGGTGGAGCGTCGCCTCGTGCTTCCATCCCCGACAGCTGCTTTACAAAAGGAAATGTTGGAAGGAGAAGAGAGTTACCGTGGGGTGCGTTTGCTAATGGCTCTGACCCACGGGCCTGCCGTTGCCGAGCGGACGTGACAGCACCGTGGAAAACCCGGGGGGCTGAGCAGGAGGCGCAGAACCCCACCCCGAGGGGCACGGTGCATCCCAGGCCGGAGAGCGGCGTGGACCCGGGGGGATGGAGCCGGCAGCCGCCCCCCCGGTGCCGGCCGAGTTGCCGTTAGCCCCGCGTCAAGCCCGAGCGCAGGTTTTCCACAACCTTGGGAAGGAAGCCCCGGCTGCAGCGAAACTTCTTCTGGCATCCCGGGTGGCGCAGCGCTCTCGCACCCTCGCACGGCCTCGAGCCTCGGGAGCGGAGAAGCCGGGGGAGGGCGGGCAGCGGTTGCGCGGGGGAGGCCCGGTGGCAGCGCCGGGAGCGGGGGCACCGAGGGCAGCCCCGGGGGGGTTCGGCCGCCTCCCGCTCCGACCCCGAAGCAGGGGGCTGGCGGCGCTGGGTATCCATTAGACGCGTCTCCGCCGAGCTCGCAGCCAGAGCCGTCCCATTCGCTTATGAAGCTCGGCGCTGCCGGCTGCCTCGGTGAGGGGATTATTTCGAGGGATCTCGGCGGAGCCCGCTCTCCCGCCCCCGCAGAGCCCCGAAACTAACGCGGCGAGCGAGCGAGGGCGCTCCGTGCCGCCAGCGATCGGTATCTCGGCGAGGGCCCCGGGGCCGGGGACCTGCACTTAGTGCCCATCATTGAATTAAGCGGGGTTAATAGCCCGCGCAGCCGGCCCGCCCGGAGCCGGAGCCGGAGCCGG